ATATTACTTTTTCTTATAAATATATAGAGCTTCTTATTTTTGACATGATTAACTTTCATACTAATTAATTCCAACTTTGACCAACAAAAAATTTGCTTAAATGAAACTTCTTTATATAAATTAATTTTTTTGTTCTCAATCAAAGATCCACCAAATCCAGTTTACATTTAACTGTTAAGCGTACCAATAGTAGAAGAATCGCCATAGGGACTATACAGAGCTGAAATTATAGGCCTCGTTAATCTTAAGTTTCTGAAAAATAAAACTTAAAATAATTAACATTGAGTAAAAAAAAGTAATTAAAAAAATAGAACCAAACAACAAAAGTATAAATTTATGCAAAATCAATGTACCTTTGGGAAAATAATGGTGAAGATGAAGGTTTATTATAAGTTGAAGCTATCGATAAACTTAAAGGAGTTGCCATTGTTGATGTCACCACGTCGCAGGAGGTCGAGGGTGAGGGGTTTCTGAGGGGATAAAATGACCCGAATAGTGAAGAAGACACTATTTCGGCTTTTGGAGTCAACCCGTTTGGTTTATTACTAACATAGAGCGCTGTATCATGCTAGCGGATCAATAAATGCGAGTTTAGTTGAAATTGGACCGTACTGTAATGTTGGAATTGGATTGGGGAAGTTGAACAGAGCACTTAAAATGGAGACAAAATAGGATCAATTGAGGTGGCATTTTTTTATTTATGTATTTTTTTAAATCTTTGAACTTGAATCGAGTCTCAATGCTACGAGAATACAAGCTTATTTAAGTGTTTATATAAATTATTCCTGAAGGGAGGCTAAATTGTCGGACCACAAGGCTTTTAAACAAAAAGGCCAAAGATTAAAGTTCGAATTTTAATTTTTAGTTTTAAATTTAAGTCCATGGAGCTATATTGATAGCGGTATCTCGAAAAAAAAAAAAAAAAAAAAACCGTTGAACCAAGTAATGTTCCCAATGTTTTAGAGCTCGAACAACCATGTAAAATTCAAGTTCATAAGTAGTCCACTTCTGTTAAGATTCACCTGCCTTTACTAAAATATTCCACTGGTCGTTTCTCTTTGAAAAACATCATCCCAATGCCTTGAAGAAAAGCATTGCACTCTACCTCAAAAACCTTCTCAAATTTTGGTAATATTAAAAATAAAAATAAAAAGATGCAGTATATAATTTATCTTCAATAAATTGGAAGCTCCTAAATAGTGCTTCGCCCACTAGAAAGTCGGACCAAAACGGTGAATATATAATATGCTATCTCTGTCTTATAAAAATAAATTTGCTTCTTATTTTCACACAGATTAAAAAATTTTAATTAACCTCCGTTTGGTTTTGATTTTTCAAGCCAAAAAATTAATCTTTTGACCGTTACTTAAAATGGTCAGTCATCATTTTTGACTTCTTCATTCACCAGTGGGACTCACTTTTCTCTCTAATGGTCAAAAAATTTATTCTGAGAATCAGTACCAAATAGACCCTAATATAGTTGAAAATATAAATTTTATCGAATTTTTTCTAATATACCCCTACATTAAAAAATGTTTTAAATAAAATTAATTTATATTTGTTGATAACAAGTTACATTAAATATGGGTATGTATATTAGAATTTTTTTTTAAAAAAAAAACTATACTTTTAACAAGGAAAGTGAACTATAATTCGAGATAGACGAAAAAGGAAATCATACCTATCTTTACGAGATGGAGGGAGAAACGTTTATAAAAGTAAAATAATATATAAAATTAATGTAACTTTGAACATAGAACTTAGAAGTTTCTTTCTTTGTAATGGAAGAAAGGAAATTTAATGATAGTTGTAGTATATGGGATGTGTCGGATCATGAATTCCAAGTTTCATCTACACAATACAATTGTTGCTTTTCTTTTTAGAAGAATTATTGGTATTTGTATCCTTTTGGACTTTGCTATTATTCTTTTAGCAATTCTACACATACAGAAAATGTTTTACAAAAATGCAACAGAAGTCTCACATTGTGTGGGCCCATGTTGTAATAAAAAAGCAAAAAAATCACCCACCCCTAGTGCTATGTCTCTTCTGTGGTGTTTTTGTGTGTACAATTTTGTACACATAGCACTGCTGTTATTCCTTTCTTAGAACAAGCTTGACAGTAGTTTAGCATCCTTTGTTCTTTAATTAGCTTAAAAACATATTTCAATGGAAGTTAAGATTAAATAGGCAGCAGTAGAAGTTATCATTTTTCGATGATTATGCTGCTGCCACTTTCATATTTGTTGAAATATTTGATTGTCACCATATAATTGGTGAGTTATTTTGTTGCTTGAAAGCTAGGATGAAGTAGCAATTCTGATATTACGTTGAAAGTTTTTGTTAGGCTATATGCTTAACACTCTTTTTTAAGTTGTCAAGTTTGGATATCGAAGTTGGCCCAAGGATTGGAGTATTTGATGCTCGACTGCTTCCTTAGTGCACGTTCTCGCATTTTTGCTTGTGCAACTTCGGTTCAATTAAATGGGAATGTAAAGATGGTGATACGTGGACGACTTTTAGTCTTTGATGTTAGGTTATTTGGCCCATTTCATTTAAATAAGAATAATCTTTCATTTGATGGGCCGTTCTTCTCTCTCAACTGTTCATATTCTCCTTCGTTTGTAATCTCTATTTTTTGATAATTTCTTGGTGAGATGTATAAAAGAGTGTGTGAAGGTTAATTGCTGTTCTTGGTGAGTGGTAACCCTTGGTTACTTGGTGTAATCTTTAGGGAAGAGAGATTGGAAGGAGAAAAACTGTATTTTGAGAGCTTTTCTAGTTTGATACTTTGTGTATTGGCTTATATTTTTGTACGTTTTAATTGTGTTGGTGGATTTAGGGCATTAATCATAATTCTGTGGATGCTAAAGGTAGTAAATATGCCTTTTGGCTAAACATCCGGGCCTAAGGGCAAAAAAATCTTTGCCTCTTTTTATTTAATTTTTGTTGAAGTTTTTTTAAATCTGGTAACTCGAAGACCAATAGTCTTCATATTATCTAATAACTTCACGTATTAGAGGACAAATTTGTATAAATAAATTTTGTCTTCGAAGGCGTGTTAATGACGAAAAAAATGAGAAAACAAGATTGGAAGAAAACTTCAAGCTACTTTATTCATCGCAAAACACGTTTGTGACTGCATTAAAGTAGTACATGGAACTCAAACAAAATTATCTACAAGAAAGAAATGGCATACAGGGGAGGTTCTCGGTTTGTTTTCGAACACCAGGAATGATACATGATTATGGCTCCACTGTGAGGTGTCCACGTGACAGACAGCGACAACTTCAAATCTATCACTATTTTCACTAGTCGGGTAAACTTTGAATACCTTGCTCTTACTTTCTTGGTGATGATAAAGAAAACTGAATAAAGGTAAGGTATAGTATGACAGGCTGCCATCTCGGGTGCTGAAATTTCCTCAGGCACTTCCATTATTGTATATTTCTGAAGGTGTACTTTAGGCTGACTGAGGTGGATGTAGAGAATACTCTGATTTCAGTCCCTAGTTCGAAGATCATTTGAACAAAACCATGCATTGATTCTAAGATCTTTCTCCCGAAATAACGTACTGGAGGTTTGGGACTTTGCTCGACTTGGACTGACATGATCCATCCTGAATCACCTTAATGAACCCGATACGTGTCGTACGTCGATGGTAGATACCAGCTAAGTGCCAGACTCACCATCAAGACAACCTTTACCTGCTTTGACTGCGACGTACTTTGTAAAAATTTTGGCAGAGTTTCCTCTGAAATATGGAGTAAAATCACCCGAAAATATAATCAAATATCCCAAACATGTACATGTAGTTTAAAATAGGGTAAGCAGGCCCCTCAGAATACCAACTATTCAAAATACTACACTGACAAATTCGACCTTTGCAATAATTTACAAATAAGTGTTCCCAAATGTATAATATATACAAAACATAGCAGGCTCAAGCCATGGAACTAATTTCTAATCAAAAGATGTGTCTGTCCTAAATATGAACTATATAAACTGATAGAAATGACTCCTATGACGCTTGACAATATATGGCTCAACTCGATAGATCAACTAGCTCTAGTGGTGCTCAACTCAGCTACTATCTGATAAGAGAAAATATGATAAAAATGTATGAGCCTATAACTCAGTGAGTGAATATTTCGCAAGTATATATTTTCCATATACAACATTCTGAAAATTGGTATTTAACAAAAATATTCTTTTTATAGCACTATAAGCTAAAACCTTTATTCTTTAAACTGAAATGACTAAATTCTGTAATCTGAAAACTCATAAATTGCAAATTACTGAAAATCACACCAAAAAGGTATTTGGAATAACCTTACTCATGTATCAATTTATGGCAAAACTATTCATTTATGAAATTCTATAATTCTGGTGATACGCACGCATAGCTGTCCGAAAGCTATAATCTGGTCATACACTATGGAAACACATTCACAATAGTGCATAGCGAGTAAATCCCCATAACAGATCATACATTGTGGAAACACATTCACACCAGTGTAGAGTGAGTAAAATAACCGTATGAAGTCATACACTATGAAAATAATTCTTCACATAAGTGTAGATTAAGGTAAAATCACTTGGGTACTTTTTGGTGATTTTTAGAAATAACTTTAAATATGCTGAAATATTTAATGCGAATATAACATGCTAAGAAAATGATTCGACCGAACTAAATGTAACCTTAAAAGAACTGATTATAAATCCACTTTTTTCTGAAAATCAAGCTACCAAATCAACTGTAAATTTTCTGATCTAATATAAATTTAATTCTGAAAAATAAGTTTTTATCCACTCACAAGTCAAGCTGAAGCCTAAGATGGTCGGTAGGTTTTTTCGATCTCCTCATCACCACTAGAAATACGATACAAAATAACCAATTTAACCACTATTAAAACAAGAAATCTTTTATCCCTAATAATATAATACCTAAATTAAATTTCTCAACACTTGAACAAATTCCCAAATTTTCCTTTAATGAATTGGAGTTTATTCCACTTTCTAGTCCCTTTTATAATAACTAATTTCTCGAAGTAACCTTAATCTAAAGCATCAAAATAATTTATCCATTTCAATTGAGTGAAAACTTCTAATCACACTACAATCAATTTAATATAGATCATGCTCCATAAAATCATTCTTTTAAGTGAATAATTCCATCACATTATAAATTCCACAATTAATCTTTACCCAATCATCCAATTTATTTTGTCCAACTTAAAACCTTCAAAATATTTTTCATAATAAATTAAGTCCCAAATAAAATAATTTATTTCATTTTAGTCCCTATTTGACTTTGATTTTGACAATTCAACTTTTAATTTTTGACTAGTAAAATTTGGGTTGTAACATGAACGGCATGGAATAGGCTTCTTCTTTGGATACTAAATGAGAGAAAGTTTCCCTTATTAAGAAATAGAGTGGTACTGAATTCCATGCTTTAGAGCTTCCTCCTAGAAGAACATATTTATAGAAGGATCCATAGGGGA